GATAAGAGATGGCCCGTTTGTATATTAGGATACTTATTTATATTTTCGCTTTGGATTCATTTATGTACAGGTTGTAAAAATTGATTGTGGCATGAAGAATAACTGTTGCTTTGGTCTCCGTAAGTTTTTTTTCTATATAAGCGACATGTCTCACGAATTACTATCAACGTTTTAAATAGAAAACCTGCTCTTTAGGGCCAAATTAATTTTTGATCTTTAGATTCCCAGCGAGAAGATGAAAGAGAACTCGATTAATACGTGTAAATTTAATTTAACTCTTTTATATAACAATTTACTTATATGACTAATCTATATATGCAATGTCAATAAAATATCCTTAATAATATATCATAAGTATTTAGTGGTAAATATGTTATTTAATGATTATTATCTTTAAACTAATTATTTCAGAGAACGTATAAAAATCAATGTTAAATTTTTTATTAAGAAATTACATATATAAGCGTATAGAGAAAAAATTTCTTAAATTTTATTAAATTTATTTATTAAATTTTTATTAAAAGTAAAGAATCCACGAATTATATTTTATGATAAGAAGAAACTGGTTCTCTTACTTCGTCATCAAAACAGTAATGATTTTGCTACAACAGCAAAATGCATTTTTCATAAGGGTAGACTATTTTACTTAATTTTATTTTAGTAGCATATTCTTTTCCACGTGCACAGGGAATCTAAGAATCAACTATGACATAAGTCACAAATGTTATCGATGCCGATTTAATTTATTATTATCAAGTAATTCGTTAATGATAAAAATATTTTCGATCGTTTCCACGCGAAGAGTAACAGAAAGAATACGTAAAAGTCATTAAATATATATACATATAACGCGTGTTTTATAATTATAGCAGAATTTTAATTTATATTTCAAAGAATAAGTTATATTTTAATTTGTATTTAAGAGAAAATGAGATTTTGCAAACGTGATTTTGCAAAAGAAACATGCTGCATACATTTCAAAATATCTTTTCTCTCACGCAATTTGCTCGACGAAGAATATTACGGCATAATATCATAAATATCATAATTTTTCGTGTCTCTCTGAAAATTAGCACATACTCTAAGCGCGAAAAATTCCACTAAATCTTAGAATATATATAAATCTTAATATAATAATAATTAATAATATCTTACATTATACTCGAATTATATAACGCTATCACTATCTATCTGTATGTCATCATGCATTTAAAAATCACAGAAAGGTAAAATAAATTTCATCTTGATAAGATTGCGGCAAAAATTTTCTAGCAGCGATACGTCCGTCTTACGTAGATGAGAATCGATATATCGTATCCTATTGTTCAAGAGTTGAAGAGCGTGTACGATTCATCTCTATGTACTCTAGTTTGCATTTAAATTTAGACTCTCTGCGTGATGAGTACACGAAAATTATAAATGTATAATTGTCGAAGGCATGATCCGTTCTACGGATCAAGCCACGAATTATCATTATTTATTTATCTTATACTTAGTACCGTGATCGAGCTAGAGGTTGTAGGTACAGTATAGAAAACTTTGATATAGATAGCTAGAAGGCAGAAACAAACTCGAGATGTACGGTCCCACTTTTTACACGGATTAGTATATCGCGTTAGGTTCGACGCGCGTCTCTATATAAATATAATATATTATATTTACAATATAATCTACGCATATGTATATATACATATATAGAATATCTATAAACCGTCTTCATAACTCGATGCATTACACTTTACACGCGTTCTATAGTGATCTAGTTGTAAGTTGAAAAATGATACGAAAGAAACAACCACTCCATATCTTCTGTTTCTTCACTCGCTTGTATAATTCTTAGAGGACATAATTTGCCAAAAATTGGTGCAGTTTCAAACGTGTGCCAGTTTCTCGAAATTACAATGAAGAAGATAGATATATTTTACACGTAGAAAAATATACATACAGATGTCCAGCACTGATCAACATGGGAGGAAGGTCCATGCAAACTTTATCTTTGTTCAAAAAAATAGAAGATAAAAGGAAAACAGAATATTGACTCGTACTTCCTAAATCATCTTCGTCAACATACATGTACTAGGCATATTATCGTTAGTACGTAGGCACATGATCCGTGAAAATGCGCGCGCGTTGAGAAAGGATCTCACACCCAATCAATATAGAGTTGAAATTCGCTGTGATCAGAGCTAGACGAGATTTACAGGAGATTTGCGACTCTATATCATTAGCGCGATCGACTAAATTACATTAGTCCGTTAGGTATCGGCGATAGGAGAGAGCGTATCAGTCTAAACTAGTGCCGATGTATCTAAAGTTTTACGAGAGATAGGTAGATAGATTGATTGATTGATAGAGAAGAAGAAAAGGAGAGAGAGAGAGAGAGAGAGAGAGAGAGAGAGGTAATCACGCGTAATCCCTCGGATGCGATTTTCTAATTTCTTCGCTAAAGTAGATTGCGTGGTTATCACATTCTAAGCCGCGAAAGAGCAGCAAACTCTTCGCCCGATTTGATTTCCTAACTTTATTACTAGTGTTTGAATGTTGATATATGCATATAATCAATCATCGTCGCAGAAAAAGAGAGCGATTATTGTATATAATAATTCTAAGTTTTATCATTTTATAAATGTTTAAATATATCTATATATATCTGCTAATCCGGTTGCGTGCGCATTTCGCTTGTATATTGTTTAATATATGTATATATGCGTTATTTAATGTCATAAAGATTATGTTACATACTTTTTTCGGCCGATTCACGAACACTACTTGCATTTTGAGATCTTTTACAAGAGTATTTTGCGATATAATATTAAATATTTATTCGTATCCCTATATGTTATATATTTTTTTCTATTTGCAAAAACTGTTTTGACGTTCGATATAGGAAAATTTCTTTAAAAAAAGATTAACATATTAAAATGATTCTTGTGTCAAATGTTCTTTAATCATTATTATATATTTTAAATCTATTTAAATCAATCGTAGAGATAGAGTCATTTTTACAAGTTAAAATAATATTCTCACAATAAAGTACAAAATATAATGTTCTCGATTAAAATGTGTACTTGAGATTCTTTAACAAAAATATCTTATACAGAACATGTATACAAAATTCGTTATTGGTGCTATAATAATGAAAGGGATAATTTAATATGCAAAACTAAATCGAAAATGTAAAATAACCTTTTATAGACAAAGCCCCGTATAAAAAATGTCATTTTACATTTTCACTTTATTTTTACATACAAAATCACCTTTTTCTTGTCAATTATATTAGCAAGGATAACTCATCCAATAGAATATAATTTATAATAAAATAATTATGCGCTTAAAGAACGCGAGGCCAATAAATATCACCGATCTACATATCTATAAACGAAATTCACACACGCATGTATACACACATATACACATCCACACACACACACACAGATATACATCAACTTATTTCATGTATTTCGTTGACTTAATCGAAAATGTGCTACTTAATAGATAGTGAAAGAAAATTTGATTCTCACACAGCGTCATATATTAATGACGATGTTTATTGATTGTCTCTACTTCTATAAATGGTAACGAACGTCTACTTATTCATAATTGTATAATATCTAAATTTTATTCGTCACGCACATTCACCCCCTTTCGAATGCTCGAAATTCACTTATACGTTGTGCAAAGAATTTTTCATTATTCTGTTTTCAAATATTTCTCATAACTACTACAACTGTTCGGAAAAAAATAGATTTGACGAAAGATGAAAGCAAAAATGAACAATTTTTAATATCCTGAAGAAAAACGATATCGATACTGTCGACGTGTAATAATTGTCATATAGATGTCATAAAATGAATCGTGTCAAAGAATGAAAAATTCTTTGTCGCACCGCGCTACTACTAATCGTATAAGAGAAACATGCTATATATATATGTATAGTCGTCATAATATATAATTTCTCGTTCATGTTCTACACGTTATCGTAATTAGTTTTATTAGTCGATCGCGTGTTAAAGTGAAATTAGTGTGAGAGGCACCGTAGAATGTGTTCGTACGCACGTACAGGCTAAAGCGTGTTTTACAGAGTATTTTACTTACGTTTTTCCTGTGCACTTTCTTCACATATATATATATATATATTTCGATGAAATTTATACACATTTATAATAAATTGATAGTCAAGCGTTGCAAGAGATTCAGTATTTCTGTACAAAACGATTAAACTACACAGAACGTCGTGTAAAATCATCAAAAGTGTATTAATTGTTCAACAATGTTATAAAATCGGAGAATTTCTTGAAATTTCTTTTATCGTGTCTGTTAAAGCTGTAAATCAAGGAGATGTGTTTGGTCAGAAGAAGAGAAAATTTGACGACAATATTTAATTTTTTGTAAGAGGCATTTTTGTTCCCGAGAAATGTTACAAATATTACAAATAGATTTTATTTCCTCAAAGATCTTGACTATCACTTTATTATAATTGATAGAAGTTGTGCTTGATTCATGAACAGTTGAGCATTCAATATATATAAAATAATAAATTATTATTTTATACAACTCTCTCATTTAGCATTTGCAAAACGTGAGGAAAACTAGCACAAAGCAAAATGAAAATAAAATTACAAATAATATGTAAATGCATATATAAATTATTACTATTTCGCGTAAAATAAAGAGAAGATAAAAATAAATCGATGTAATGCAACGAATTAATCGATTCGAATCAAGCACTACGTCCGTCCACTGCAGTAGTAAAGCATGGTGTTTTGGTTCACGAGAAAGTCTTGTAAAATGTATATATATATTTTTTGGACCCTACACCTATATTTATTATATATATATATATATATATATATATATTTATTTATGTATATATATATATACATATAATATCTCTCTTTTTGTGATTAAAAATACTCTTAGAAGCCATTCGATTTAAGAAAATCGTTAAAACTACTCTTACTGTCTATATATATACACCTATAAATATATATGTATATATATATGTACAGTAATAATATGTATATATATATCAGGTATGATAGATATATAAAGTGCGATAGATTCGCTTGATAAGGAACAATCTTCCACCTGTGAAAGATTGATCGACGCGAAGCCGCGAATTACGAGTCAACGCGAATCCTATTTATCATTAACAACTATCTAAATTTATCAACATTTATATATATTGCTCGTCTCGTTTAGAACTATCTTGGCAGTCAAGAAATCATAAAACTGCAACCATCCGCACTCGTTCTCCATATCGATGTCTCCCGAATCGCGATTCGATCGTTCTTCAATCTACATATTACGACAAAGAAAACTCGCTATTAGATTGTTTGCTTCAGAGAATTCGCGCCGACATCGCAGCTCGTGGCTTCGATTAATCTAACGATCAATAAGAGAGCTTCGTACGGACCAAACGCTACGAGAGTCGTGCGCGGAATCCGATCTCTTGTGTGATGTGTTTTTCGGTAAATAATCTACGTATAAAATATAAATTGTATTTTTATGCGCGCGAGAGAATGATACGCCCGAAAAATCACGATTTATGTATATATATATATATATATTTTTTTCCTTTATTTTCCTACGGCATATCATTTAGGTCTCTTAAGACCTTTCCCTAAGACTCACACGTGTATCGAAGACTAATATTCTTACGGATACGATACGTACGGACGTGTATCGCGTATCAAAGATTGTTATTTTTTTATTCACGGAGCACAGCATCTACAATCTACGTAGACATATTGCTTCTCAGCGATGTAGGCAAGTGCGATCGTAGCAATGCCATAAAAAAAAGATGAAAAAGAACCGTATATGCAGCTTTATAAAGTGGGTTACCTCGAAGTATCTACATTTGTGCTAGGCCGAAGATAAAGTAAACTCGGGATACGAATAAATGGCGAGAGATTGCGCCCGAAATTGAAACCGATTTCGCCGGGCAACGGTATCCCGAATTGGTTCCATTTATGGGACCCGTGTTAAGAATTGAAGCACAACCGTACCGATGGATTCAAAACCGTGAAATTCTATATAGAGAATCGTGAAATTTTATATAGAGAACCGCTTTGTGGAATCTCTCTCAGTACTCGATAACAGTTGACGAGATAAAACGTTCAACCGAGACTTATTAGCGGTCTACGAGTCTAATCGACGGGTTCGAAAATCTGCTCTAGGAAGTTTGGTTAATATGTGTGTGTTATTGTTCCTCTTTATTATTTCTAGTTGGCCCGAAATATATGATGTTCCCATGTTGGCGTTTTATCCATTTCTTTTCGGCGAACTGAAAATATGGAACAGCGTTGATACATTCCCCTTTTTTTCATTCCTTTTCTTCCGTACGATAAGATCGAGATCTTCCCTCGCGAAAGATCAGCCCCTCGAATGAATAATGCATTTCGTTCGCGCCCTTCCTTTGACTACGCGTACGGTATATGTATATCTCGCATGCCTTCGTCTTTAATTCTACAAAGCGTCGTTTCACGTGGCGCAATTGCGGGAAGATTCGCCGCAACTTCTGTGTCTCCCTGATTCCGCGCCTCGTTAATTATGCAGCATCCTGTGCGTTTGACTTCGCGTCGTCGAAACATTCGCGCTCAAAGACTCCTCTCGCAGTCTCGAGTCGGCAACATGTCTCTTTGTCACAATCGCTTCTATTACATTTCCCGCCGAGATATGACAAGCAACGACGATTTTTTCTTTTCTTTCTTTATGATCAATACTGCCGTTCCACCGAATGATCGTTACAAAGATATGCAAGCGTGGACTTCTGTGGTCCCAGTGGAATTGAACAAAAAATCGTCGAGACTATCGTTATTTTTGCAATCTCTTGAACCTCATCGTGGTTCTCCAGACTCTCTCGAGGCGAATAGAGCCAGGTATATCTTCAACAGAGTTTATACCTTCGAGATACTATCGGGCGCGTGCTATCTCTTAAAAGCTCTCGCTGAGCATATTCGGCGTTACTGTAGTTATGGTAACACGTGGTAGCAGAGCACGTGAAATCGCGGGTGATAATAAAACGGTTTGCACGAGTTCGCCGGGGGCTCTCTGTTACACATCGTCCTCTATACTACGCAGAGGTATCTGCTGTTTCTGCGCCACCGCGTTTAGTACGTACACCAACTGGTCCAATTTCTTGTCCATCACCGACAGCTGAAAGTAGAAAGATCATCTCGGTGCATTCGAATCTGCAATTGTTCATCTTTCGTCCCGAGAGTTTACGCTTTCATTTATTATTCAAGATTTTGTTTGACGAATTATACGCGAGAATCTTTAATGGTAATCGCACATTATTCCTATCATCGGCTTTCAATGAAAGCTCTACCTAATTCCATTATCCGTTTCTCTCGCGGGAGAGCGATTAACAGCGTCGAATGTAATCCTATCGTATCTTTCGTTATTCGTGCGGTTTCCTTTCTTTAAAGAAAATTTGCGAGTCGAAAGAATAATTAATGAGGAAGGGAATTGATATCGATAAATTTTCTGTAATCACGAAAACCATCGAAAAAATGGTTCGATAAGCAAGATATTAAATATGATTAAAATCGTGCAAATATTAGCAGACTATATTTCTATCATCGTAAAAAATCGAGAAGCTTATTTTTAGTATTATTTCCTAAATTCATATTTAATAAAAAAATAAGATTGCATGTTAATTATTAATATATGTCAATGTAACAGTTTGGAAATAATCTCTTCAATTACATATAACCCAAATCATTATCATCCCATATGGATAGATCCTATGTTGTATTACATACCGCTCAAGAATAATTCAGATAATTGAGTGATTCTAATAAAATTATGATGATATATTAAAGTAACAAACATAAACAAGAGAGAGAAAAAAGACGCACTTGCTGCTCCACTCGGTATTCTATCATTGCCAAAAATTGATAAGCTCATTTAGCATTATTTCCTAAATTTATATTCAATAAAAAATAAATAAATAAGATCACATATTATAATTATATATGTCAATGTATAAGACAGTTTGGAAATAATCTCTTCAATTATGTATCATCCAAATCATAATCATACTCATCATCCCATGGGTACATTCTATGTTAAATTACATACCACTCAAGAATTCAGATTGAATAATTCTAATAAAATTATAATGATATATTAACAAACATAAAAAAGAGAAAGAGAGAAAAAGACGCACTTGCTGCTCCACTCGGTATAAACGCGCGCCAATCGTCATGGGTTTTACATTGCCTGCCCGGTCGATTCCCGCCAGGTAGCTCCCCGGTTTACCCAGGGTCTGATCCAATCTCCTCTGCAACTCCTACGAACAAATGGAATGTACAATTAATATTTCGTCAACCTACATCATACAGATTACGCCGAAAAGTGCGGGTCCATGAATCGCTCTGTACAGAAGTAACATTATCCGCTATTAATATTTCGTCATTATATTTGTAATTAATATTCGCCTGCTCATTGTTTTTTTATCGTTTTTAAGTCTGATGCAATTTTTACAGACCGTCGAAATTCAAATTTTGTTTGCAAGACTCGCTGTGACAATTCGAGAGCTATCGATCTTCTCAATACAGAATAAAGCTCCTTTCGTTTTTTGTGAAATATTGAAGCTTCTATGAACAAGAGACAGTGTATTCGTAGAAATTGGTTTATTCGTGATTAACGTTTCGTTTCTTTTCGCTCGATTTTTAATATTATCATCTTTTCCACGGCAACCATTGAATGATAATTATTCTATCTTTCGAATTTAATTAGCATAATCAATTAATATCATTTACTGTAATGCATAATTTAATATAGTTAATAATAGGCAAATTGCATTATAAGTACAAGCGGATAAAATTATAGTTGTACGCATTGAATTTTTTAAAAATATTTAATTTAAATATTTAATTTAAAATTTTATATTAAATTTTGTTATATGTATAAAAGATGTTTTTTTATATCAATAATTTACAATTAATTTTCTAGAAAAAAATTATTATATTTTCTTATATAATCATCATATTGACATTCGCAAGAAGACTTGATATGTGAATTATTAAAAAATGATCTTGTATCTAAATAAATTATTTCAATTCGATAAACTGATTCTCGTAATGTCATTAAAGCAGCGACGATTTCGCTGCAACGGTACAATAGTCCTAGAATCCTAGCAATTTGCTAACACTATGTTGCCTTAGCAGCAAATCAGATTTCCTTTCTAGTAGTAAATTTCAGACGCTTTTACGAGAGAGCGCAAATTTACTTCAACAAGATTTTTCTATTTTTACCGTAATATTGAATAATCGGTTACAGTAACAAAGTTTAGATAGTCGCTCTTATATCAAACATGCAGTAACAATTTTACCGACGACAAAATTTTTTCGTCACAATTTTTTGTAAACGTGTAGACATGTGTCTCGTCAAAAATGTGCCGCAAAAAGTCAACAAATAGTGAATGTGAATACTGCGTTCTGACGTTTCAGTGTAATCGATCTTGTCCAGCGAGACGTAGACATACGAACATGTAACGATTCCTTGATTAACTGTCGGGTATTTCACGCGTCTGACGATTCCATTGTTCTCTGCATGAATTCACACGTAACTTCGCGCTCTGTACGCATTGATCTGATCTTATCGAGCTAATCATTAGCGATCGCATACAGTCGATTAAATGAGATGAGTAATTCGCTATTGGCAATCGCTCAGTAATCCGTCAAACAAAGGCAATTATAACTTATTACAAGTTCATCCATCATCATTAATTTATTACACGATAAACGATTTGGAGCGATTTATCGAGAGACGGATTTACAAGCGAGACGGTATTTTCTAAAATAATGGAAAGCTGTTATATCTCCTCTGAATCATCCGAGCGATCATCCGGAAACGGAAGATAATAGCAAACAAAAAGAATCGTTATCGAGAAACTCACCTTAATCCGCACCATCATGTTCAAATGACCTTGGCTGTATTGTTCAATGACGTCACGCACATCGTACGGTTTCCGAGCCTGTTGAAACTTTCTGCGAGCCACGAAGTACTTGATCTTCCTGATTGCCCGGATAGCATTCCGGTGCGCTTCCGTCAGTCTAGAAAATGGTAAAAGTCCAAATATTCTTTAGATCGATATACTACGAAAAAAGAAAGACGCGCGTTATACTCTTTTTTTTTATTCTTGTTAGAATAAAAGAATATAAAATTAATTATTTATTAGGGAATAAAAATGTGTAAAAATGTTAGTTATATGATATTAATTAAAATATCGTATTATATCGACGTGATATTCGATCGCGAATTACTTTATTAAGATAGCGGTTTCAGATTCGCTTGATTCAGTTTAAAAGAGAAATTGACTCCTTCTTGAAAGAGAGAGAAGTGCCAGCTCTGCTAACTTAACTTAATTTTAGTCGATAGCGCGGTGAGACGCAACTAGATACAGCTCGTTTCCCTTTCATTACGCGCTACAACCAAGAAATGAACTGATAAAGTGTAATATTAAACTTCGATAATGTAAATTGCATAAGGTATCTCGCGTTTAAAAGCATTTCCAAATTAAAGCGTTAACGCGCGCGACAATAAAATTTTAATAGAATAAAACTGCACATGCAAATAAAAAATAACAAGCTTATAATGTCATTTCGAGATAGAACAACGATAATAAAATAATACATTTCTTTTAACGCATGAAATAATTGTTATAAGAGATAGAACATTAATTCGTACTAAATGCAACGTTAACTTGTCAATCTTCGTCTCGGATTACAAAACTGTCACATGTATATGTATTTCGGTCAAAATATTTCGGGCTTCTTTTCTCTCTCGAATTTATATTAGCCATCATCCGCTGCCTCTCGACCCCTTGACGCTTATCCGAAGAGCAGAGAATATGCTCGAGAAGAGCGCCCATTCTTCGGGTGTTTACGTCCTCGAGAATGTTTAGCTCGCGTCGGCAGATGCTTCTGTCGTGAGTATAAACGTGCAAGATAAAATACTTTATATAATGATAACATGTCGTAAGAAATCTCTGGAATGTCACGATGGAAAATGTCGATTGTTACCCAGAAAATCTAATAATATATCAGACGGATAGAAAAATAGATGGATTTTCAGATAAAAATCCACACGATGATTCTTACAAATTTAACATAAAATATACACACGAGAGTGTGTAAAAGTAAAATAAATAATGATGCACAAATAGTAGAGAGAATTAATATAGAGATTTATTTACAAAAAATATATCAAAATTAATCGTTAATGTGTCATAATTTTGTTAAATTTTTTATTACATTGAGGTTCTAGTGATCCCATTTAGAAAACTTTAGCAAAGTTGAAAAGTTTTAATCGTGTCACTTTAGGAATATAAGTTTTCCTTTAGCTTTATGTTTTCCACGTTTTATTATTAATTATATCACAAATATAATTAATAACGTAGAGTGTAAAAAAGATTCTATAGCGTCTACCAAGAATAAAAAAATGATCGGACAAATAATTACTTTACTCTTGGACATAAATGTTCCCTTATTGCATTAAATTATGAACGGAAGAGAAAGAATTTTATGGAAATAATAAAAAAATTATTAAAACATAATGTATTGAATGCTACAGAATAGCAAAAGGATATGATTCATATAATAAATTGAAAAGAAAAACGATAAAATTGAAAAGAAAAAATATAGCAGACCGAAGGGACAAAGTAAATGTGTGTGTGTGTGTGTGTATGTGCGCGCATTGAAACGAGTAAAGGGGCTGCTTTTATAACGCGTGGAATGATGTTTTAAAACGAGATCGAGGCGCGGATGCAGTCGGACGAGGTACGGTAAAGCACTAAAAGATACCTGAACGAGCTCCTCTCTGGTTGGCAGGCATAAGAAAGCTTCGGGCGGAAGTAGGTGAACTGTGAGAGCGAAAAATAGAGGGAACGAGGAGAAAATCTGGCGGGTATCTTTACGGTATAATACAAGCTCGAGTACACGAGCGGGCGCGCGCTCGAATGCCGCGAAAAACTGGGTCATTTGTACGGGCGCAAAGTAATGGTGCGGTGAAAAAAAGCACTTACATGTCTGTGGAAGGGAGGCTTGAAAAAAGCCTTTTGTGCGAAATACCGTGCGTTCCATTCGCGCCCGCAGAATCGACTTTTTCGAAATGTCAATGGTGCGGAAAGCCGCGAAAGGTTGTCCTCCACTGACCGTCCTCTTTTCTCTCTACGAGACACCGTTTTTAGAGATACGTGTATTTTTGGCGCGACATCAAGCATCGATAATCGTCGCGTCTAATCGTCTCGCGAACGCGATTAATTCTTAATGAGCGGATATGCCGGGGACACAGTTTTATTTCGCAAAATGTTGCCTCATGGGCCACCGAAACATGTCATAAAGACAGATATTGCGCCACATTTGAATAAGATATATAATAGATAAGTGAAACTGCTAAGTTAAACTGAATTAAAAGTTCAAGGGTGCGCTATTAATATACAAACTGCTGCTTGAAACGCTCAAAATAGTATTAATAAAATAGTCATATGTATTTATAAAAGTTTAAGATAGAAGGATATTTCCTTAACAAAAGTTTTTCAGAGAAAATCTATTTAAGACGTTAGTTAAAATCGTTTCGTAAAAAAACGTGAAAATTTGGTGAAAATAAAATAAAATAACAAATGCAACCGATTTTTAAATAAGTAAATTGCAATTTAAATTCCTGTTCGGGGTAAATATTTGTGTTCGATAATCCATCATATATGAAATGTCAGAAAACCGATCTATTTTTACATGTATAGACAATAATTTAATAAATTAAACTCTTAATTTAATAAATATTCCATTTGTTATCTCTTTCGGTTATTATTTAATTAAAAATGTTCAATAATGAAGGAAATTGAAAAATGTAAATGCAAAGCATGACTATGGAAAACGAAGGTCTGGTAGATTACATGAATTTCTACCTATAAGACATTTTTCCGCAGCAATATTAGAGATCGAATTCTCGTTCGGGCATTCGGTTCCGCTTTCAAAGGAACAGAACCCGAGCCTTAGTAGCTCGAGTGTCGACTAGCTCGAATGCACGAAAGAAGCTACATGATTTTCGCGAAATTGAATTTCGCTGAAGTAGAGAAAAGCGTATTCTCTGTTCTCATCTTGTAAAATTCGCGCATAACGATCCGCGGGATATTTATCCGCGTATATATTATGATGTGCACGAGGTAGGTGATGGTACATGAAAATTCCACGACGTTATCGATTTCGCATACCAAGTGGAAGTAATTTGCATGGAGATATATGTACGTTTCTCGGCTTCCTATACTCTGATTTCGGTCGGCGCGATCTAACTCAGTATACACACGCGAAATGGGCGTTTAATAACTCGACGATCGACCACCGATGGCGATGGCTTGAAAGTCGCTTCAGAAGTTATCGAACGATTCGTGAATTTCCGTACGCTCTCTTCGGTTAAATGCTAATACGTACTCGAGATGGAAAAGATGGGCAAAAGAGTTGAGTTGCTGTCAAACGTCAGAGACAGCTGGTATATATTTAATGAAACAAAGATTGATGAAGGCTCCATTAAACATGGATTCAAAAATTCGTTTCCGCATTTGACGTTATCTTATTTCATAGCAAATATTTAATCTCTCTCTCTCTCTATCTCTCTGTTACAGTATTTAAATTCGCTTTTGGTATCGCTGCTCTTTAAATGTTCTTTAATGCTCTTATAAATACTCTATATAAGGTCTTTGAATATGGATATGACATTTTATTTGAGGAAATGTACGAAACATATTCAAGTGTATATATTGAAACGAAAAATATTCAATGATTTTGACTAGAAACAAGCTTTCGCGTAATTGATAAACAAACCGTTTTCATATTTGTTAATTATTCTTTGGCTCTATTTCGATGAATATTCCTAAAGTTTCTAATAGTATTTTTTTACATATCTTGCATATATTATTTTCCGTTTTACAAACGCGCGTAATATATTGCGACACAGATTGATTCTCTACTAAAAGATCAAAGTATGCATATACTCACGTGGTGACTCTTTGCGGTTCCTCGATATCGATGTCAATTTCGTCGCTAGTTGCCTCCGTCACCGAGCTCGTCTGCGAAGTGAAGAGGCTTCCCCTGCCAATCGGAAACACGCTACTCAACTAACGGGCTTGCGATTCAGTTCTTTCGACGTCGCGAAATTGCTCCAGAGAAAACGCTCCTCGGACGGGGTCGACGTGTATCTGTCGCGAAAAGTTTCGCGAACCGTTGCTCGCCGTTGTACAATTCCGCGAGAATTACTTCAGCGACATTGACCGCATATTTTAGCGCAAACTTTGGCAAAGTTCTTTTGTCTCAATTAACGCCACGTCCGTCGCGTTTAAATATTCTGATTTTGCGAAACTATCTCGGACAGATACAAGCAGTGAAAGATATAAGCGTTATCAACGCCTCTCTTATCTATAAATTAGATACTTTTTGATCAAACACATGAGATTTAGATGTTTATGTATCGTAAGATTAATGTTTAAATTTATAATATGGTATATCTAATAGTTTGTGGTACCTTTAAATGTGAGAAATTAAATATATAATTAAAAAATAAATCATTTCTTTATAGAATGTTCTATTGATATTATATTAAATTAATCGATAAAAATATAACTTTGCACTTTTTAAATACATATTGCATTCAATTAAAACATGCCTATAGTATGTATAGTATAATATATAATATTATACATTAGGATTAATTAGCTTATATTCTGAAAATATCTTAAAGTTTATTGAATCAATAAATTTTCTACTGATACGTCATCTTATTAATATCATCTTGATAATCAATCCTTCAAATGACACGATATTTTTTTAGCAGATTTTATATATTTTTCTTGAATATCTTTTATCATAATATTCTATACGTGAATATTTTTCTTCCTGAAAGTGTTATTAAAAATGTATCTCGTAAATGTTAAAGCATCCTTTTTATCACCTAATGCACCCGATATCGGTATTTTGCTTTCATCGCACAACTTCCGAGAATCTTCCTCCAGAGCAATTTGTTGGATTGCATCCCTTGACAATCGAGAAAAATACCGTTGGGGGATACCATAACAGTTAATTAAAGGAGAGTTTACACTTTGTTTTGAAACATTGCATTGCGATGACATGGCAGATTGTGAGTTCTGAACTCGCATCGATCACAAGCAATTCAGTATATTGTTTCATGTAATGCAACTCTGTGATTTATCAAAATTTTACTATAAGCGCTCAAGAATTTTTTATAGTTATCTTTATATTTAATAAGCAGATATATCAATATCATAATCTCGATCATTTGTTCGATAGTGCGACCAATTTATATTTGTTGAAAATTCTCGATTCTTCAGCGACAAATTATATACATATATCATATCTTTTATTAATTTTCGAATATATGATATTTGTGGATAGTATATCAATTAATACATTTTAATTATATATATTATTGTTCTTACTATTATTATTACTGCCATTTGTAAATTAAAATCTCGCAGTTCTTCATCGGATTAAGTATAAATATTATTAGATATCTTTAATCTTTTTCTCGAACATATTGATAATTAATGTGTAAATGAGATATTGGTATGATATTGATATATAAATACAAGATGAGTCGCGGCAAACTAAAGTACAACTAAAGAGAAGGTGATTCTTCATTGAAATAAGCTAAAAATGTAGAATAAAATTTTTCTTACGAGACTTCATAGTCGAGAAAAAATTGATTTTTCTAGATTTAGCTAATATCATTAAATATTATAACATATTTATATCAATAGTATTAAATCTCAGTTTAGTGAAAAATCTAATATTTTTTAAATTAAATGAAAAAGGCAAGAGCAAGCAAATTTTTAAAATTAAAACACAGTTTTATCAAAGTGAAGTGTCATTCAAGAAATTTTGCTCGAGATTAAAGCGATAATTATAAAAGATTCTCGACTGTAAGCGGGCTTATACGTGTTTTCATAAATAAATGTATATATTCGTCTTTGAGAATCAACAAAAATTATCCGGCGGTTCAGCAAATTATTGAGACACACTTTTCACTCAATACTACTCGACGACGATAGCGGCGAACATTCGGAAATAAACTTGCCAATTTCAAGATACCAATTTCACTTCCGTTGCTTTACTGAGCTGTGAGCGAAGCTTCTGAGCGAACTCTTCCGCTCGAAGAAATGGACAGAAATCCATCCGTTAAAGGCGATGGTGTGAAACTTATCGCACTGTTATCAAATTTGAACCTGAATCGCAATATACGACACCGTCATCGCCGCTCTTTCGAAAGTTGGAATCATTTTTCCCTGTTATGTTATTTTAATATTCTATGAATTAAATTTTTATTTAATTCATGAGCAAAAATTTGCTTCTACATATATTTCTAATTTTTTCTCTCACGCGATATATCACTCTCTTTTTAATTGCACTATTAATCATAATAAATCCATACATAGACATCCGGTTATTTCACACCCTCTTAGAATCAGTGATGAAATGGTAGCCCAACGGAGACTTCTCTCTTTTGGTTCTCTAAAAGTCACTCACCGGTTGTCGCGTCTGGCCCGATTCGGCGTGCCCGCTTTAGGTTCCTCCATGTAAAAAACCACGTCCCCTTCGTTCTCGAGGCGTTGATTCTGATCGTTCTGGCCGGTCCCGGCGCCGGCCGATATACCGCCGGAGATGGTGACAGGCGGCAGGGCTGGCTGCTGTTGTTGTTGCTGTTGGCCGTCCATCCGATTCCGCGACTTCCGCCTCTTCAGCACGCTCGCCTTTTTTGCCACCTGGATCATCAGAGACTGAACCCCCGGTGCCCTCCCATTACAACACACATCGAACACAACATGCACTATCCCTACTGGCCGAACGTTGTTTGGCCACTCTTTCTCCTAACACGACGAGGTCATCGTCGTCGTCGTCATCGTCATTATTATCATCTGGGGACTATCGTGCAAAAGCAACGATCTCTCCCGCGAGACTTTCAGAACGAACGTTTGCTGCGGGAAATTACGCCGGTCGCGAACCGATGTCGTTTATGTCCTTTAAACACGAAACGGCTCGACCCAACCGCGCACAAGAGCCGGAATAATTCCCGGAATGTATACCATCGATATACTGAGTATTATGAACCAAGGACGTGCTCCTTCCTTCCATTGTTCTCGGAATTTTACATTGTAAATGCAAAATGTTTCGAAAATGTTTAGTTAAACCGTACCAGCGTACTTTATTAATCGAACTAACGAGGAAATTTTATAGAAATATGAACGTGTTTCTTGAAGAGACGTGTATTTTACATGAGCTCATTTACACGATCATATTGTATTAAAAATTGTAAAATACAATTTTCGACAGAAATAAAATAAACTGTAAAGTGAATATTATTTCACATTTCTCGGATATAAAAATATAAAATCATAATAAATGCGATAATAACTCTATAGATATAAAAAAATTTATTTTTAGACGTCTTTTTATATTTTTCTCTTTTTTTAGATTTTATTTTACTCATATAGCACAAAATTTTGTTAAAAAGTAGGCTGGCAAAATTTGACGAGTCTTAAAAACACTCTGCTCGTTGTCGACGTTTAAATCTTTCGTATAAAGTGTTTTACGATTTTCCGACTTCTCTTTTCTTAATATTTGTTTCTTTTTCATACAAAAATTCGCCAAGCCGCACAACCGGCGTAAACTCCCACACATTTCTGCGTTTGAGCGAGTTCCCAGTCTTTTCATTTTACAGATTGATGCAAAAGCAAGAAGTAAGCACGCGCGCGAACACACACACACACACACACACACGTAAACATACATAAATAACTACAGACCTTATGTATTATTCAGGCTCGTGCATGTTATAAAATATCGCTAAGTATAAAGTGAAGTCACTTTTGTATATCACATGATACCGATAGTTATCCTTGAAAGTAGCGTAATGGTGCGCCAAGAAAAATACGTAAGCCAGAGAAACATAAAAGCACAAATACGATCAAACAAACGATTATTGTTCTTTCGTCGGCGAGCTTTAAGAAGCTTATGCAAGCCCCACTCGTCCAAGAAGAAGTAGCTTGTTCGATCGTTGGTGAATAGTTTTGTTTTGTTAGAAACATAAAGAAATTAGTGTGTCTCGCTTATTTTATATTGTTGATATTTTGTAGCTTGTTAGTACGAGAAGAAATAAAAAAAATCTCAATCAAGCGGAAACGTCTCTCGGTACAATAAATGAAAAAAAGACGTCTAACTCTAAAGCTAGAAAGCGACATAACGATTTCATAAAAGCCATTGCTTTATTTTTCATAAGAAAGTTTTTTCCAATTATTCTCTCCGCGATGATAAACACTTCGACCTATACTTTCGTCGCACTTTTAATCCTTTGGACGTAATGTGATTTTTTGCATTATCTGAAAGAGTAACATTAATATGATGAACAGCTGGGTTAGTCTTAAATCTTTCCACTTCTATTCGCGAGAAAAATTGATTAAAACATTTAATTTGCTTCCTAAATCCAAAACGTATTAAGTGAAAATAAGAAAGTTAGAACGGAAGATATTTTTTACAAAAAATATAAGAGTAAGTTAATCAGAAAATTAATAAAAAGTAATAAGAGAAAAAAAATAAAATGGGGAAACGCGTATTTCTCAGCTATTGCGTGGTGATTTAGTAGCTTAATATTACCTTCTAAAGATTTTACATGACTACACATAGTAGCGTATTTACGTAGACTATGTAATGAGCAATTTTGTTAAAGATAACTGTGCGGCGAAAGTACGGAAAATATTTTGCCATTACATGTCTTTTAATATGCGCATATTCTACATTCAATTGACACAGTGAGAGAATACAGTGATCCCGGCTTACATAATATAAAAGATAGACGTTTCACGGTGTAACAGAAATGTGTAAAGAAATGTGATAAAAAGTTGGGAAAAAATAAACATGCAAAAGAGAGATAAGAATAGAAATAAATATAAACCATTTACATACCATCTTCTTTACACAAATCAACTGAAATATATATATTAGGTATATTTTATCATCGTGTTAAATCATTACTGAGCGTTGTTTACTATTTTAAATAATATGTCGCACGGTATTTCCTCTCTTGATATATGCACGTTTTTTTATCACAGAGTTCGAGAACTTTGGCAGCAGAATGGAGACAATACTATTCCTACGAATATACAATCGCTCCGTGTTAATTGAGCGTACGCGAAATGTGCCGATAGGGCTAATTAAATTCTAGATTTTTTCGAATTTTCCTGCCAGAAATTTATTGCCCGAATAATACTTGTAATAGCTATTAGCATCGCTTGTATCTGCATTTTTTTATTGTTCAAGCAATTTTACGAGATGTCTGGACACGTTGCGGAATACAAATACAAAAATACAATGGTTATTTCAACGATAATAATCGAAAATGGAAATAAAACGCAGCCGTATTGAAAAATCAAGCGTCATTCTAGAAATATCACGTCCGTTGTTTGACTCGTATATTTAAAAGCAATTTATATAAGAATGACAACTATTGGAATTCGCTATTTTTCAAGCAATAATGTTTAAATGTACAAATTTATTAAAAAAACGAAAGATAATATTCTACGAAGACAACGCGTAGATTAATGATAAGATTAATTAATTCACTTTTCATGAATTTTTAGGCAATAACACAATAGCAGCATCACAGTTAAAGGGACCGTTTAAAAACACATTTGCAATTACATTTATATTAGATTTTAGATATAAATTTACAAGAAAAATATATAAAATTATTCAGACGTGCAACTCACGCGAATGCAATAAATTTTGCTGACCTTTATAAAATTGTGACAATTTAAATGTTACCGTAAAAAAAATTAATAAATATTTATTATATAATAATATTTTAAAATTATTCTGATGTACACATATATTCCATGTGCTCGGCATTCCAACTAATAAAAATGGTACTATTAAAACCATAAGGATATTTACTCAAAAGGTAAAAACCAGTTTATATTAAAAAAGGGAATCCACATTGCACTCTCTGTAAATCAAAACGAACGAATATGAAAACCAAAACGCAATGTTCGTTAATTCATACGTAAAAGGGGGGGATAATATACAAAAGCTTCTAAGCGCATCTTTAACTGCATAAACACACGTATGTGACTAGCAACATGAAGGAAAAACAAAATTGTCTCGGATCTCGGCGATAAATAACGGCACATTGAGAACATCGAGCAAAATTCGCATTCTCTGCTTGCATCCATCCACTGCCAAATTATCGTAGGACAAGTAAAACTACACGAACGTCGTCGTAGTTATATGATACTGATTGATAAGAACGGTAACGATTATAGCGACAAATAATATCAGACGATGACAGACTCCCTCGCGAATCTCATCATTATGCAGAACACGGGAAAGCTTTATTGCAGAAAAACTTTAAAAGTAATTTTATATGCATGTATTAGTTTTGGTTAATAAAATTGTGACTTTAATATTATGTCATTATTACGTATTTCACATACGCAAATTTACACGCGAGATGAAAGATACGAAATTTAATTACATCTATAGTTTTTTATCATCAGTGTGAAAAGTATATCTCTCAAATTATGGTAAATCAAATTAATAAATGTTTATGATTAAGAATTCATTTTTTATACTTTGAAGGTAAATTCATATATGCAGAATGTTTGTTACTTTTTTAGCAAATTTTATATTAAACAATGTGTTAAAAATCTAGAATTCTTGAAAAAGTTAAAAAATATTTCTCTAGATAAAAAAGAAATAAGTGAATTAAAATCAGTTGCGACGTTGCTTGTTTCAATTTTATTGTAATTTTTAGTTTTTCAACTTTACGTCGTAAATATGACGAACCTTTTGTATAAACCCTGTATTTTTCCGATTATTTTTACCACGACACGAATTATTGTGATTGTTGATGAGCGTGATTTACTGACTCGTTAAAAAATATTTCCCATTTTTTTTTTACCAAAAATACATAAAAGGTCTCGGTTACATCAGGCTTCGTTCAATTATCGAATATAAATTTTGTTTCAAAAGGCCGAAAACCCATTCCCTTTTAATTAAAAATAAAATTATTTAGTTTCGGTTATTACTTTCAAAAGACATAATGACTTTTATCATATATACAATATATATATCTCCGCGTATATATTTTCCTTTCGAGCTGCTTATTCGCGCGGCACAGATCGACGACATAGAACAAATTTGATTTCTCGAAATCCGCTTAGGGTAGTATATACGAAACGAGCACAAACGTTCAAGCTATACGTATACAACTCCACGTGGACCCGATATTATCGTCGATATAATCCGATCGCGCGCGGGAATGTGTATAATCGCGGTAAAAGTCGGGAGATCTTGGGGGCAATTAGTTCGGGGATATACGCGCGCGATACACGGATTGGGCGAAATACAATGGGGTAATTTCCAGATCCATTAGCGTGCTCGATGAAGAGGGAAGGGAATGGGGGTGGTTGCGGTTTTTCGCGTGCCTCGACGGGGACGATTACGAGATTCGCGACGGATTAGATCCGTCTCGGTTATATTGTGACACGGTAATCGCTCGCGGCACGGTCAGTTTAGAACACGTCAAGGAACATTATATAAGCAGCTAAGAACATCAACAGTCAACAGCTAATAACGGCTACCTCTTCGCTCGCCTCCGCTATACTCGCAAACGGGGAAACGTTACCTTGCCGAGGGGTGTCGAGGGTTGTCCAGCTGGCGCCGGATCCTTGATGTAGATGTTCCACGTGGCGACGCTGTTGATGGCCTTGTCGGCGGCGTAACACCTCCACAGGCATTGTATTAACATCGCGGCAGCCGGTATCTGTCGATTAAAATGCTTCTGCCGTTGCTTCTGCTGCACCTTCAACGCGAAGCCGGAACCTAGGATACCCTAAAAGCGAAAAACACCCACTCGCGATATTTATATTATTGGTTGATGGACCAGCGCGGAAACAGGCAGTCCGATTATTTAGGTGAAATTCAATTATATATAATAAAATATAAAATTAGACTTGTATTTTTTTTTGTAACTCTTGAATTATATAAGCAATCGAAAATAAAGTTTTTTTGGAAACTGAAAATATTCTAAAGAAAAATTTATGATATTGAGTTGATCTAATTGAGAACGTAAAATTTAATGTGGGGCTCAGTTATACGAAAATATAATAGATAATATTAAAGAAATTGAGGTAGCAACAAAAAATTATAATAGATATTATCATTAGAAACATCAATTTTAATCGATGGGAGCAAAAAAGTTCATGAATAATAAACGAAATCTATAAATAATAAAATTGAAATCTGAAATATATATCATGAGAAAAAATATGTACTCACAGCTGGAAGTGCGAAAAAGGAAATGGCAAATACGCTGAAACATGAGGCCACAATTTTTCCCATCCATGTTTGCGGAACAGTATCACCGTAACCTATTGTCGTCACTGTGATCTGCAATTTCGAAAAATATCAAATTCTCATTATTTCTCAGCATAGGTCAAATTATTCGATATAATATATTTCTACAAATTGTTTTAAGCTCAAAGAGTTTCGCAAACAGTTAACGTTTGGCTTGTCAATAGTTTAACTCGTGAAATGCAGCCAGTTAATTAGCACATATTAGCACTCTGATAAGTAATCTATATGCGTTGCACGCAGATTGTGTAAGTGATGACTCCAATTAGCTACATATGGTCATCAATATAATTGCAAATCAATCGTTTTCGTGATTACTATTGTTTGTTGATCTCCTCAGAATTGTTTGTGGCAATTAACCAGATTATTATTGCGTTCTTCAAGTGATTTATATTTTCCCCCAAATTTAATCGATTTAATATTTTATAGAATTTTATTGATTTAATTTTTTATTGTATTTCGTTCGCATTAAAAACGAAAATTATTTTTTTTATATTGAACTTTATGTTTTCTCTGCGCGCTTTGAATGTATTTCAGTAATCAAAAGCTTTCTTTTGCTTCAGCAATAGGGTACCTCAAAATTACATACTGATACGAGAGACGTCTGATAGAAAAATCTTTAATGAAAGACATACTCACCACTCCCCACCATAGTGCATCGGCGTAACTGGAAAAGTCTGTTTTGCCGTCGGGTCCGACTGCATCTTTTTCGGCGAGATACACGAAATAGCTGCTGAAAATGAGACCCAGGAATCCAATGTATAGCGTTGTGATCAGCTCCTGTTATATAATCATTTGGATAATATTAATATCAATATCTTGCACTACATACAAATAAAAAATATTATGTAAAAATTATGTAATAATCATGTAGAAATAAAAAAAAACATTTACACATATATATTCATACTCATGCTTAATTTTCTACAGGTATAGTTGCAATTATTGTTAAGATTTTTGTCCTCAGACGTTAATTAAAAATAAACATTTTTCGCGACGATGTACCTGACGATGTATGAAAACCACAGAGCCTAAGAGTCGCCACGTGCCACCTTGACGATCGACATGAAGCATTCGAAGAATTTGCAAAAATCGAATACCCCTGATAGCCGAAGTGGCAAACACCTGACCGTTGCTTCCCACGGACAAGACTACCATAGATGCTACCACAACGATTAAGTCTAAAAAAAGATAAGAGGACTGTGCGGTAGACAATATAAAGGGATAATTGATTAAAGTGTATGAAATATATATATATATATATATATATATATGTTATTACAGACAGTGTTTTTTTTACATGCGTGCATCGATTAGAATACAATAAAATATTTTCATTCGGCATATTATAGAGTATTGATTAAGTGATAATCGATGTAAACGCATATTATTACGTAATCCGATTATTAATGTTAAATCCGACGTTATCTATTCACATATCTGTAAAATTCATTTGCCGAATTATATACATTGCCGGTTGAAAACAATAATTCTCTTGTCATACATCCGCTATGAAATTGTGGCGAAATGTATGCAATTCCGGTTGCGTCTCCACACACACCGGTCAATTAACACTAATGATCTATTCTCTATGCTGTAATTACTATTCTATATTTTTAGTGTTTACAGATAAAGTGAAACAAGATACAGTGCGTACATTAATTATGTAGAATGAAGCAATATGTATATGCTGCACATTATTTGAGAAATATAAGCGATAAATCTACCATATATTTTGCTGGATTAAAATTTCCGTATAATGGCTCTCTAAACCGGATAAAAATTTCTATATAATAATAATGTTTATTACACGATGCATATAGCTGTACAGTAAACGTGATGCACGAAAATCAGTTACATATAGTTTGAAAATATAATTAATTCGGAGTACTGATTTACGTCAATTGCGAACATACGTAAATTGCTGTTAGGTGAATTTTGTTTCTCGACTTTGTCGTTAACAAATTACAGAATAATTCAGAAATCAAGTAAATTGAAATAATCGAGAATATAAGTTAACTAATATATTTTGTATAATGAAATTTCTCTTTCCTTTTACTTCTCATAATATTTAAAAAAAAAATGTACACATCCATCCTCTCCTTTTTGCGTTTAGAATTTCGGTAATATATTCGTCATCAACGTAATTGAATAGGAATAAAATTTCCAACAGAGAGCGAGTAATCAATTTTTAGCCTCGTCTGCAATTAAGAGGAATTTTACCGCGGACCGATCGCGTGTGTTTCATTCGTGAAACAAACGCGTCCGGCAGAACGATGGCCGTGATACACACAAAGCGGCCACAATCTTGATTTCAACGAAATGGATTCGATATTAGGGCCAGGGCCTAATCTCGCAAAGTTGGCCGCGCAAACGAGCTCTCTGCGACCGATACGAATACAAAGCAGAGACGATTCTCACGATCCAATTTTGCGGCGCCAACAATGCGAATATCGGATTAATTTCGGCTATATCGCATTTCGGTTCGCGAATGCGGCTCGCCATTAAGAGGGACGGGAGAACGCTCGCACAACTCACCTATGATACAAATCGGTTTCCGTATGAATCGCAGCCGTCCACAGCAGCCCATGTACTTCGACCTGCAGCCCGCGCTCCATAATCGAACCATGTACTCGACCCCGAAGAATACCACGAGACATATTTCCTAAACATGTAATGAAGTACAATTGAGAAATGCCAATGCTCACTCGAACGTCATGATCATTCAAACACATCCCACATTCGCGCGCACCTTTGTTATACATTTTGAATTTCCGAATAGATTTGCGCGATTTCATTCATTCAACTGCTCGACATGTATTATTGCAGACATAAAAATATTCTGTTAGCGAATAAAAGGGATAGTATCGCAAAAGAAAAGAAAGAATTTGCATTCAGTTATATTAGCATTACAACGCTATTTATATTCCTTATGTAATATATGTATATGCATATATATAAAATTTCATAATCAGATTTCCTATCTGTTTTAAAATGATAATTTTACATATAATATTTAGATTGTGTGTGTACAATAAAAATTAACTCATTGCATGCTTTCTATTTTTTCTTTCTTGCCAGAATTACATCTAAAAGATATATCATTATAAATAAATATAAAAAGAGTTCCCTAAGCTTATAAAAAGAGTACATACTTTTTATAGTTGAAACAAGATGTATATCTCTTCATATTTTATGGAAGCCACAAGAGCTTAAAGTTTATTTTGTTTCTTTTTATTTATGTATGTATTTTTTTTTTTTTTTTTAAATGTGGGGTATAGATATTTCATCTTTTCACTATTGTTATTAATAAAAACAAAATTCTAAAAAAATATATTATAATAAATATATTAATTTTTTACATTTTTAAATATAGGTACGCGATTTGATTAACTGATATACGTGCGTATATTGTACAACAAGTAATTAAACAAACATGAAATAATCATGTGGTATTTAATAAAATATGATCAAATATTTCGATAATGTGGTAGACAATTTGATTTAATCATATTTAATGCCGGTGAGAAAAATTGCTCGAAATGGTTCTGTATATCAGTTAGACATTGGTTAATCATATCGTTAAAATGAATATGCAATGAATGCGATAGCGTATTCAGGCAGCTATTGTATCGATTGTACATACTAGTGGCGTTATATCAACAGGACGTCCTAGAAAGACGAGGACATCAACGTTAGAATCGCAACGAAGCGGAAGAGATCCTTGAAAATCCCAGCTTACTATATGTACTCTTTTATGACTCAGAATTCAAATGAGCTTCGAGCTTTATATGCGTTTACTCGCGTTATATTTATATGGAAAAAAGAAAAATGAAAATATCCTAATTTTTTTTAACGTGAAATATCGATTTAATAAACAATGTTAATTTTTCGTATTGATGATTTTATACTACAATATTTATGTATAATATTTATGTATAACTTTATCTGTATAGATTATTTTAAATTTTCGCTAAAAGTTGAATTTTTCCTCTTCTAATACAAGATGTATGAAGAAGTATTAATTTTATTTGTGCAGCTTCGACAACGACAGAAAGAAGAAAAAAAAAAGTTTCATCAAAAAGTCAGTTATAAAGTCTATTCTCGAGTGAGCCAACAAATGTAAACTTTTCTTTTCCAGGATTAATTAAATGAAGTTTGCCTTATATCTCTTTACGGAATACTACGAAATTCTTATCTGTGAAACGCTAATCATTATTTAATGTTTGCACTTATCATTCTTTTCATGTAATATACAATTAACTTTTTTCGAGCTAATACACTGACAATAAGCTTGGACTTTGACTATAGAAAAGAAAAAAATAATTTTCATAAGAAAATATGTAAGAATATATATCTTTTATATCTACGGATTCTTTCATCAATTAATTAAATCAATTCTGCCTAAAGAAAAATATCGAGATATCAATAATTTTTAAGTTAAAAGCGAAGTCGAATTTAGCTTCACACAATTTATTTATATATATTTATATATATTATATTATTTTATAAATCATTATTTAAATTTACATAGTAAAATGTTGTATTATATTTAATAAAGAACATGGATTACTCACCATCCAAAACAGAGTTTCGTTTGCGAAATTACTGTATTGGTCTATCGTTGACAAAACGCTAAATATGAGGCACACCAATACCACCATGAACCTGCAAAAAAACATTTTACAATGTATATAAGATAAATTCATAACTTATAGTTCTATCGTAAAATTATATTTAAACGAGCAGTTTGAGTCATATATTAGAAGTTAAGACGTCACATTGAAAGTTATCATACGTTAAAGTCAGATTAATATCAACAGCAACTTTAAAATTTTTCACTCCGCATTATATGGCGAACTGAACAAAACTTTGTTTTACATTATAAAATTTCATCTAGATGAACAACTTGATTAATTGGAAGCGTAGAACGTCATACATTAAAGTCAGATTTATATTTAAAGCAACTTTAGATTCTTCATCAAATGCTCGCCCGTTATTCTCTCCTTTTAAAGGGCTTCAAACTTAACCATTCTTGCACCACTAAAAAGAATATACCGAACTTTCGGACGTTTCGTGATGCGCTTATGATAATCACCGAAGAACAAAGTTGGTATAGAAATGCCCCGGAACTATTATACTTCCCTTCAGCCACAGACTCTTACATGATAATGGAATCTGTTTTCTTGCACGAATATATAATGAGAATTACAATTGATAAATAACATTGAAGATAATCTGAATAAAGTGTCGAAATAAACAAGAAAGGAAATGTGATAGTTTTGCAACGCTATGTTATTTTGTGATGTAAAATTTGGATTAATAAGTCTTCAGTAACGATAATCTAGATCAAACTTGATAAATACATAATAACACATGAATGCGTATAAGCTTATAAGCCGATATAAGCATTACGCGTAAAAAATGCTTGATGAATACTTGATGAATGAAATATGACATAAAGTACATTATATGATTATATAATGTATATGCTTTGCATTGCGTGCCAGCTCGTGCGTCACTTATAAATTTGTCTTGATTCTCGTAATAATAGAAAACAACTCTTAAGCTTACTTTTTTCTTCCCACGAAAAGATAAGCTATTCGTTGTGCTACTATATGTCACTGGAGTTTAGTTAAACTGATAAATTACTTGACAAACTACGGAACGTGATACACTAGACAGCTACGTTACTGATTGCCGATATTACGAAGCGTAACTTTATACTTAAACAAACTTACACAAGAATATTATCAAAATACATATGTCTATTCGCTCGTAATATTTATCGATCAAAATTGCGTATGTTCCGCGATATACTACAAAACTACTCATAGAAAATATTTGTTATATATATAACTATATTCTCATAATATTACGTCTTACATTTGATAAGAAATCCGTTAAAATCATAAGAGAACGAAATTTTCAAAGAAAAATACAGTGGAATTTATTAGAAATTTAATATCAGATTCTCTACAAACCACAGATTTTCCGATGTGTTCTTACTATTATTTTTATTATTCAATTCAAATTAATTATATGTTAATTATATATTATATATTAATCATTTAGAGAAATGACGTTGAATTAACTACATTTAGCAAAATCGATCATTTTTTACATAACAAGTTTTTCGTTTACTTATTTTACTTTTTTTATATTTAATATTTTATTATGACTGATATAATTAAAATATTTGAATTAAATTATTACACAAACTAAAGATAAAAGATAATATGCGTAATATGTATAATAATTATTACAATCATAAGAATTAAGTTTTGGTTTGACAAATTTTAATTTTATAAATTATTCATTAAAAATGACATTATTACGCATATTTACCATAATGTACACAGGAATATTAAAATATTTGTTTTAAAATATTGCGCTTAAAAATAATTAATTGTGAATAAGTAAACAATAATATATTGTGTCTATATATTCTGGATTGTATTACAAACCTATATAAAAATAATTATTATGAAAAAAATAACTATATAAAAAATACTTTACTTCTAATATATGTATATATATATATATGTCCTAAAAGTAAAATGTTTTTATTTTGAATTAGCTCTAAAACATCTATTTTTTAATTTTCTCGTTTCATTTAATTTAACCGAATACAATTACATGCGCGAAGCAGTTATATTATTTTTTTGATAATAAAATCTCAAAAATTGCAACGCGTGCATACAAATTATTATTGCAATGCATGCATAAAAATATATTAATTATGTAATGCATAAAAATTCAATATTTAAATTTTTGACAGAGAACAAAAAATAGAATTTTCTACAAGAATCTTTCGGTCAAAATACATGCGCTTCTATTAGATTCGAGCGTCTGTGTCCGGAGGCGTTACGACAGTTTTAGGCGTTCCTACGCTGGAATTTGATCGTGCGCCCCAGTGACAAAGGATCCATTATTTTGTAAAACTTTAAAAATAATAAAAAAATAGACTATCAAAATTTTCGCCTTCCCCAAACTACGTTGGAGCGTATATTTGCATACCGCCTTGTAACTTGTAACGCCTCCGTCTGTGTCTGTATATACAGATCCACTATACGCTGCACGTATCACGCGAGACGGACCGGCTGACCGCAAGACTCTGACAACGAGCAGCGTGTCGCCATCTAAAGGCGAGACCTAACTTCACAACAAGAATGAAGCGGCCCCTCTCTCTCTCACACACCATTCCTTTCCATTAGACACGTGCGTCCCACACGTCCACTACGCTGCTTGTCTCACAGGAGACTGATCCCCACCACCGACCCCAAGACTGCGCAGTAGTGTCGCCAACTGACGGTAAAACCTAACTTTACAGCCAAGAATGAACCGGACCCAACGAAGACATCTCTCTCTTTCTATCCTTTCCATCATATTAGTACATCCCCTACGTCCGTCGCACTGCGCGTCTCGCGCGGGACTGATTCCACTTCGAGATATCGCGACTGCGAGACTGATGATCACGTGATCAGTCCCACGCGAAACGCGCAGCGTGACGGATGTATGGAGACGTGCGCGTCTAATAAAAGCGTAGATATATTTTAATCAAGATTCTTGCAGAAAATTTTATTTTTTCTTGTTCGCATTTTCTCTCTGTTAAAGAGTTAAATATTGAAATTTTATACATTGCATAATTAAGTTTTTTTTATGTATTGCTTGCAATAATTTTTATACATGCGTGGTGTCGCAATGTTTCAGATTTATCAAAAAATATTATCACTAAAAAATAATATAATTTTGTTTTGCGCGCATAATTATATTCAGTTAAATTAAACACAATGATATAATGTATACATATATAATGTTAAAAAACTATTTAGAGATAAATAATCTAGAGATGAATAATTTCTATAAGTACCATAAATGTCATGCAATCAATTTTCTAGACATTTGATAAAGATTAATTATATCAATTATAAATAAAATAGATAGATGTGTTTCTACATAAAAGTTTAGTTCTTTAATATTTCTTTTATAGCTTAATATATATTTTGTAAAATGTGCACAAAAGTAATTTCTAAAATAGATAGTATATTTTTAAATATATTACAAGAGATAAAATATAATCCCTGTGCAACTGAATTTGCGGTTATATACATAATGTAGGATTTCAGTCGCAGCTTAGAGCAAATGTTCGTAAGAGGAATCTCGATATATGTATATAGAGATTTATTCCTATCCTAGTCTTTCGTAGAATGTTGCTTTTCTGAGATGTGGCTATTTTTTAAAAAATGTCTCGATTTTCATCGTAATTTTTAATCATTATCTGACTGATATAGTGCATCGTGCATCGAACCGACGACGTGAAAAAGAAAAATAAACGATGCGAGACAGCAAGACAAACTTTGTGTATCTGTGGTTTGAACGGGACCGGTAATTGCTACGATCTAGCGATCGATCTAGCGGTGCGCTCTCTCTTTGTTTGTACAAGTAATTTATTATTGAGCGTGTTGCCTCGTTAAGCAACGGAACACGAGCGCGCGGCATTAACGAAGGCGGGCAGACGATTGCCACCGCGTAATACTCTTTAAGATAGCGTGTCGAGGGCCTATAATTCCGATGTTATGTATGTACAGTACTCCGTAGTTGCACGAGTCACCTTCATCGACCTACTATGATAATTGTCTAACATACTCCTCCTTTTTTCCTCGAGCATCGCTCGGAACTCATCCATCTTCTGGGTGTCGGACAGATATATCTCGTTATTCGTGAATAACACGCTTTTTATTTGACTGTAAAAATGTCACGGAATAGTAAAACACAAAAATAATGATCCGAGCGTATCTCGAGTCTATTCGTCCTTAAACTCGTCATCTTTCAAATTTTACTCTTGAGCAAGTGTGTGAAACTTGAAAAGAAAAATTCGATTTTAGGCATTCTCTATATATAAAGAGAAAATATATTTCGCGTTAAAAAACATGTTCATCTTTATATAGAAAAAAAGTTGAATTTATTACGGGACATCGACTGAATTAATATGTCAAAATTTAATTATCGATATTAATGTTCGAGAGGAAACGCGATATGTTGCTTACGGCTAAAGATGTATGTAAAATGATTGAACGTGTACACCCACATATTGTGCATCTCCTGCATATCAATTAACCTACATGCGATCCAGGGAGAGATAGAGTGTGCGTGTGCGGTTCCTACGGCAATAACGTCATACCCCATATCGCGTCGTTTATTCATACTCATCACAGTTTAATTACAAATGGATTCAAAAGCTTGGAATAACATAAACTTCTCTGATCACAATCCGCTCGATAGACGCGTAAATATGAGTTTGCGTTTAATAATCATTTTCTCGGAAATGGAATTTGAGTATGTGCGTGCGGGGTTGCTGCACCCTTAAACGAATTAATTGATAAAGGAAGTAATGAATACACGAATAATATTATAGTCATACAATCGATATAATGTTGCTCCAAAACAAATTAAAAAATTTAAAAGCTCAACGGGGCATATCTCTTTGTTGCAAAAATAAATTTAATCAATTAAATAAATTGATATTAAAATATAATATTAATGCGCGTAAATGACAATTTATGTAATTTTGTGAAATCACATTATATCTAGATATGATTTCCGCGTAATAAATTCCGAACATCGGCGTATCGGAATATTCCTTTTTATTACTTTTATACATATGTACGAAGTTCGTGATGATTTTCAATTGATCTTCTTCGAATTCGCGCTTCTCCAATCGCATTTAAATTACTAAAAAATTTAGTAACGACTTTCTCCGACGTGATGTGTAATCTCCACGGATGTCATTATGTGCCACGATATCAATGCATCAGCGTGCGCGATTTTCATCTAAAAATAACAGGCCGCACGCAAATAGCTTGCATATGCATTGGGCCTAATAACATGCTGCTATTTACGCCCGTTTGAAAGTAGGCCGGTCGAATTAAAATTACTTCTGTTAAAGATAAATTTCTTTTATCTAATCCAATAGACCATGTAAGACAATCCGCTTTAGCTTTGGTATTTTCAAAAGTCGATGAACCAATTGAGTAATATGTAAATCAAGTTTTTCGAGAAGAAAAAGTAACTTGTTAGTCTGACACTGTGAATTTTAAATGTAATCTAACTTCTTTCAAATATCATTTAATTTTAATAATAGTATTCAATTCTCGACTTTAATTAATTTCTGGAATTTTTATTTCATCTTATTTTTAATAGTTGAAACGAATTAAAGAGAAAAAATTAAAATAAAAAAATTAATGTTGTCAATGATTAAGAATTATATTTGCATTTGCCATATTCAGTTTCAGTTATGCAATTAATACGTATAAACGGAGGCAATGTTCTCTGCGAAATCCAGATTGAATGACTCTTATTCCTCTTACCTCCTCCTTCTCAGGCGCTTTGGCGGGCTAGTAATAGTACAATAATAGATGATAACAGGTACTATAGTGCCGATCAATACGATCACTCGGACAATTAAATATTTACAGCAGCGTTTCGTGCAACGTGACTTCATTAGTCGGTCGTTTAACGATTATATGTATAAACGATGGAGTATTAAAGCCACACAGAAATTACATTTAGTCGCCAAGATACGCGACGACCACGTGCGATGAAAAAATTTGCGAAAGATTTGAAAGTTGATTATTTTATTGACAAATTTGTCCAATTATAACAAAAGTTATAAATTTAATATTTTGTGAAAGAATGCGTAAATGCATTTAAAAAATCCAGTATGGCTTTGTAAAATTCTATTTTCAAATGTCAATATTTGTATAATAGATATTTACTTTTGTTATTGCAGTTTAAAAATGTATAAAAATATAAAATCACTCGAGCATGATATTGAAAAAACTAAATCTTTGTATAAATATATATGTATAAATATGTATAAATAGTTAATTAATTAATTATGATCTCTTTTATATAGGTCATAGGATATTGTTGTCTTTAAAATTAAGATCTGCAAAGCAAGTTACAAAACAAACGAAAAGATATACATCTTGTCAAGAAATAATTATAAACAACGGATTATATGGATATAGTATATATTTTCAGTATGCAGGACAAATAGATATATGTTTCCGGAAATGAATGGCGTATGCGACATGACGACAGTACCATCGAATACGGAAAATGAAAGACACTTCCGTGGCAATTTCCGACTGTAGCGTTTCGACTTTCGCGTTTTCTAAAGTTCGATAGCGCGGTTTATTATCAGGTACTCCAAGTAGTGCGATAAAATGCAAGAGATAAGAATACCGATCGCGCACGTCTTCTGTGACAAACAGTTCTCAGATATTTTTAACTATCTTAGATCTTGAATATCTTAAATACATATATATCAGGGGCAGTCGATAATGGTAATGTCAATTTTATTCCCAGCATTTTGAGCGATAAATTTTGATAGCGATGTTAGTCAGCTTCGCTTATGTCATTTGATAGGATCTATGAGATTCGTATTATGTAAGAAAAGTTATATTTTAGCATCTTTGCTATTACAATTAATTTCTTATACTTTGAGATTATCGGGATAAAGAGCATATTTTATATTTTTTATAAGATTTCCCTTCTCAATTCTTATTCCTTTATTCAAAACAGTGAACATTTACTAAACGCCAGTAAATTTTAAACTTTCAGTTGAAATGCAGAAATGAAATGATATTACGGATTATTTGGTTAATTCGATACTTTTTCTCTATATTAATTTTTCAGATAAACTCGATTAATTTGGAGATAACCGTGTGCAAGTTTGCGATATCAGTTTACTTTTATCCCCTTATTTATTATTCGCGTAATTCGGAAATATTTCAGATTTTAATTTCAATTTCAATAAGAAATATAAATGCAAATTTGATGAAACATATTTTCTAGCTTAACTACAATATAGTGTTCATTTCTCACGGGGTTATGTCCTTAATTATTATTATAGTGACATGCTATTTTTGCTGATAAAAAGTTCTTCCCTCAAGTTCTTCAAAAAATTTGTTGTCAGAAAATAATGCGCAAGAAGTGGGTTATTCGTGCGTACGAAAAAAAAAATATAGAAAAACATTATGATTCCAACTTTTTACTTAACGACCACGCATTAGAACCAAAAAAAAATAAAACGAGTGCGAAGTATCGACGAGATGAGAAAAACAAAAAATCTTTGCTATATTTGCGAAAATCGATCTGGTTTGCGGATACTTTGCCACGTCTTAATAATGAATTATTTAAAAGGTTGTAGCGACAGTTTGGAAGAAATAAAAACAGCCCGTGTTGAATAATTCACGAATTCGTGAAGTTTTTCGATGGATGATGCTCGCCAGGGCACATATTTCAGGTAAATATACTTCACCGATCAATGTGTGCAGGTCACAAACACGAATGTGCATATGTAATGCTGTTTATTAATATTTTAAAGATAACACATAAAAATGATTAGACTATAAGATATAGATATAATGGATTGGATCTATTTTTATTACCATTTTTTTTGTATATTAGTGACATTTTCTCTATATCAAAGAACTTTTTTTAATATCTCTAAAAACCATAATATAAATAATGAGATTCGTGAATTTTTGTAAGGATGATGGTAACAGGAAAAACTTTTGCAACGATAATTAATAAAGATGTTATCACAAGGTGTTGCAAATATTCTTAACTCATGGAAATTGAAGCGCAAATATTAATCTTTCGGGGCACATTTCCTGACAACTTTTAATCGGTTTTATCATCGCGATCGCAGAACTATGTATAACGAAAACACATTTTCATGTATGGTCACGAATGTTTATTCACGTTATAAAATTACCCACATATATTCGTTTTCCTTTCGACATTCAACCATAAAAATATCATATAAAAGAATGATTTCTTTCATGCTTTTTGTTCCGTACTAAAACCCAGAACGAATTAATATGTTAATCTTTCTTTAATAGTACTAATGTTACATACATATGATGCTAAATTTATAAAAGCAGATATACGTATCTTGTGTGATAAACTTATTTTATGCAAATTAATAGTATAAAACATGACTAAAGGAATTTTATAATAAAGTAATTTATTAAGTGTTACGGTCTGTACATATATATATATATATATATATATGTTTTATCGATCTAAAAATACAGATAAAGTTATTGCACTTGCTAAATAATTATTATGGATTAGAAATTGTTTATATAATATGAAAGATATATAAAGAATATAAAAATTTAAGAATGCGATATAGACCTAATAATTTTTAAGCTATAAAAGAGATAAATGTTGCACTTTAGTCTTGAAATTTAAATAATTATAGTAGTTTTTTTGAAATAAGCATTGAATGCTTGCAAATAATATATGTGATATTTTATTTAGTCATAACTTTTAATAAATATTATTTTAAAAAATATTCAAATAAACACATTTTTATGAAATTAAAATTTTTACAAAATCCTTCATATTTTATAGAATTATTCATATTTTTATGAAAAATTTTATATGAAATTCTTCATTTTATGATATATGAAACACATCTTATATTGTTTCACTTAAATTTTTAAATGTAATTTTTATAATTCTTGTATACTTCTCTTCTAGAAATTAGTATAAAATATATCTTTGATATATCAAATTATACCTCATGGAATTACGAATTTATCGTACCGAAGTTTATCAAAAAACCTTTTGCATCAACTCGGTCTCGCAAGGAGATGCTTTTCAAGATATTCTCAGACATTTAATTAGTTTTATCGTTTATCAAGTCAGGCCGACGATGAGCAATAAAATTCTACATGAATAATCTGTTCTCTGATGAAATCAAGAATTTAATGCGGGTAGAGACAGCGATTCGAGCGAGCAGAACATTCGATTGCAGAAACAGGGGAAATCCTTGACAATGTCGAGGATTTGGAGCATGGCCAGGTGTCAAAGGCCGAAATCGAATCGTCTGCGTATAGAACGGAAACAAGAGAATCTCCCTGACGTGGTATTTCACATTCACGTCTCTTTAGCTATTAACACGAGGAACAAACGGGCACATGCGCTACCCTCACGTCCTGAAAGTTCCCAGAATAGACAGCAAATTCGAGTTTCGGTGCAATTGAAATGAATTTCACGTTTTGGTAAGATTCAAAAGCATTTCGTTTGTAACGAATATCTACGAAATATTCGCAAAGGTATGGCGTAGCTCGTTCTCTCTCTTCTCTATAGCGCGCAAACTCGGATATACTCACACAGCGAAATGGTAGACGAAGCACAGCCAGCCGCCGGGATGTTCGAGAAACACGTAGAGCCGTTCCTGAAAGGTCTTGCCCCTTTTATGATGGAACACGTACTTGGCCTTGAAGGCCTGATCGATCGGCAGATAGATCGGATAGTACGGATCCGGCATGCCGGTCTGATCGGGACTCGGCGGCTCCTCCGTCTCGGCGTCGGCCACCTCATTGTCAATGATGTCCTCCTTGCTCTTTTTCCGCCGGTACTTCCGCTTCATGGGCGTCGGCACCCGCTTGTGGTGCGCTTCGCCGAAGCGTGGCGAACGGAAGCGACGCAGGAAGGTGAATCGGTGCGCCGGCGACGACGGCTCCTCCGCGTTCGCGCCGTTGTCCTCGGTGTCCTCGGTCTCGCTGCCGGGTGTCTTCAACGCGGTGTCCTCCGTCTCGAGACCCTGCTCGGCCGCGAGCTCGTCCTCGCTGCCCTGAAGGGCAGCGTAGGCGGCCGCGGTGCTGCACCGCTTTTCCGCGTGCCTAGAGCATTGGTCCTTGCTTCGTGGAAGACTCTCGTTGTTGTACGCGTCACCTGGGCATTTTCAGGATTTACATTCGGCCCAGAGATTGCTATGCTTCATCGCGCTGCTCGATTACTGCTTGATCCTCGAGGCTCGCGGATAACGTGACGAGAAATGTCTTTTCTTTTTTTTATGTACAGCGAGTCGTTTCGGATATTGTAATAAACATTGTTCCGTGAATTATTCATGTTCTTTTTTAATTATTATGATAATCTGATGATGTTGGTTGTATCATAATCGAAAGATAATTTAATTTTATATTCTGAGATAATTATATCAATGAGCAAACTCTCGATTTTGATGAATCTTGGATGATTCGCCGACGGTAAATAGATAGATCAGTTGTCGAGCGAAAATTATTCAAATATTTGACGTGGCCAGAGTGAGGCATTTGCAATTCTAACCACTGGAGAACCGCGGAATAATATCTCGCCGCATAATATGCGCGTGAATACTCTCGTGCGAGCGAGAAACCTATTTATGAAGTAAAAGCCTATTTACAAAATATAATCGATAATAACAGCTGTTAAATGTACTTTATGAATAGAAAAAAATGTAAAAAATATTATAATGGAAATAAACGAAAAAAAAATTAAGCAAAACTTTAAATTTCTTTAATTACATATTAATTTTGATTCGAGGGAGACTTTTCCGGGTAATTTATGTGCAATTTTGCGCGCGACACGTTTACAAAAAATTCACTTTACCCCGTTAAAATGAAATTAAATGTAGGAGTAAATATTTTATAATATAAAGGATAATAGAGAAATTAACATAAAATTATGCATGACATATACATGAAAAAATTTGCACATATCCGTAAACGAGTTTAGTGAAATATTTATCGACTTTATAAATAATGTTAGGAAATAAAATTGCTTCTCTTTACATTGTTGTTTATCTATCGATTTATCGCTTATAGAATATTATCAATATCTCAATAATATTTACTTGCCGGGAAAGTGGACATTTCGAGTCTCAAATTATTTGACGTTTTATAAAAGAAATATATTGCAAAAGAAATTGTTAGAGTAATTTTACTCAATAAATTATGAATAAGTTTTTAATACATATTAGCAGATGACGGCTTCTAAAAACATATCTAATTTTGTATGTAACAAAATGTAATGTATAAAGTTTTAATAAGAATAATAAATAAAAAATGCTCTGATAAATATATAAATACAAAATCAGATATGAAAAGAGCCAAGAAAAACTAGATGCAAACATTAGCTACCACAAACTTGTACTTAAATTCTTCTCTAATTATTTTGAACGTTTCCTCCTTTCTTTAAATCGTCTACAGAGATCGAACAGAAAAGACACCTGAATTTTGTATATATGTTTTTGTAATTATATTTATATGTAACCGGAAAAAAATATTATATTTTCATATTGTGTGTGTATCCTGCAGGATAATAATATTCTCATCGATTCTGTAGTTCTTTCCAAAAAAGGTGCTCTAAAGAAATAAGGCGCCACAGCGAAAGACCAGATTACTGGAGCTACAAGTTCTTCCCTCAGCTTTTTCAAAACAAATGATTCAACGTGGAAATTCGTTTAATCTCCAAGAGTAACGGAGAAAAACCGAATAGATTATCAGAAAACCGAATTGATTGTCTCGAACAAAAACGCAAATATCATTTGTGTATATGTATATGTGTGTTTAGTAAAACTGTGTGTGATTAATGTTCCATATCTGAATTAATGCCACGAATATTAAATTTTAATCTAAATAGTAATATCAATTTTTTCGATTCGAAAAGGATTAATTAATTTCATATTTTTAGATTCGAGCAAAATATTAATTCTTTTAGCTTTCAAAAAAAATTAATCACGAATTTGTTTGTGCAACATTTAATTTAAAATGTCGTTTGCTACCTTCGAGTTATCGTTAAATATTTTTAAAAATTTTCGACATGTAAAAAATTATTAATAATTACGTGCAAAATATTGTAGTGTTGTAACATTTATCGGACATGATATACGGAATGTAAACACGGAATTATCGAGAAGACCGGAACAATGGAAACCACAAATCCGATTTGCGCGCTTGTGCATTAACACGAATGAATTGTCGACGGAGCTCTATTTATAAAAGCAACCATTTCTCTTCCTCTCTCTTTCTCTGTCTCTATCTTTCAGACGATGAGACATTATAAAACTCATAACGGATCCAACTGCTCGTGAATCGAGCCTCGAGTATCGAGCGCAGTAATATTCTTCTTTCTCTTTCTCCCTCTTCCTCTCTCTTTTTCTCTCTTCCTCTCTCTCTCTCTCTCTCTCTCTCTCTCTCTGATAGAGCAGAAATTAGGCTTCTTCAAATCTGCCTCTCCGTTAAGCTGATCGCACAAATTCGCGTGCTACGCAAATCTCCTCGCTTTCGATCGAAAGAAATATATGTATATTTAATATTCATATCCATTGCGCAAAAAGATATGCACTGCCGCGTTAGGCGTTCCTTTTTATATTATATAAAGGCCAATGTGTGAAAAATGTAACAAACGTTATATTACTACGTGCGATGTTAACATTAAATGAAAAAATTCATATATTGTAGAGAATGCATATGAATTCTCTTTGACAAAAAGTGTTCTTAAATATGCTTTTAGAATATTGCAAAAAAGATATAATATTGATAAAAATTATGCTAGGAAAAATGTTTTTAGTCATATAATAATATAACATAGCACGTAGTATATTCACATACATATACATTTTAAACAAGATTCTTGCATAATAAATTTAAATTCTTAATTTTTTTTTCAAAGAATTAAAAGAGTCAGAGAGAGCTCTGACATTTGTATTCTATTATATAACTTCGCGATTCGGCCAGTTTCAACAACAGATTAACTTTAAATGTAGTTTAATCGATTTTCTTTATTTCTTTTTGAACTGTATAGAACTGAGGAATTGGAATTCCCGAATAGAAAAAGAAAGAGAGAAAGAAAGAACAAGAAATCATCAGTTAATCACGACATCGATGGCTAATCTACATCGCGGGAAAAACGACGGATCACGGATATAAATATTCCGTGATGCATGCAACAAATGCAACGTGATCTAGTATAACGATCACTCCACGCTACACTTCTTCCTCACGACTGTCAGCGCGTGCGCTGTCGTCACGTTTGTTCGCGAAATCAGCCGGGATTTGCGATAAACGAGCAGGAATTACGCGCGCCTACAAGAATTTTAATCTCGTATACCTGGATGATTGCACCTCTTATTATTTGGACGACTTTGGCAGTTAAAGTGACTCTGGCTTTGCGACTGATACGGATACTGCCGATACTGCTGTCGTTGTTGTTGTTGTTGTTGCTGTTGTTGTAGTGGCTGTTGTTGTGGCTGTTGTAGTGGCTGTTGTAGTACTTGTTGTTGTTGTTGCTGTTGCAGGTGCTGTTGCTGCTGCTGTTGCTGTTGTTGCTGATTGATCGGCGACTTGAGAACGCTCAAAACGAGGTCTTCGCGGGAAGGTACAATCCGCGTGATCTGCCGACTCTGCCGGAAGAGTGTCTCCTGCTCGCCGCGATTCATTCTGCAGCCGATACGACGACGTTGAAGATAAAATCCTGGATACCACTCGCGTCTCCCCCGTCCTGGACCGCTACCTAGCATAACAGCGTGCAGCATTCCGACTCTAACTTTCCGATTACGGTCGATGAGCGGCTCCTCGTCTGCCGGACAATCGCCCGATCACGCGGCTTGTCCATGGTCCCGATCGATCACCGAGTCACCGAAATTCGCGTTCACACAACGACAATGTTCCGAGTGCCTGCGCGAGATGCGAACTCGAGTTCGGGTGAATCCCCACCGAATCGCGCGACGTTATTCGACGTTTAATAACCCGTCACGTCGTTCCCTAGTGAATCGTCGGGTTTCATCTTGATCGCGACAGACAATGGCAGGATTACTCTGCCATCGTTTTAATCCGCGATCGTATCAGGGTTGACGTTCATCGTGAAGTTTCAAGAAGGAGAGAGATCGAATTCGTTCTGCGATCCTGTCGTTTTCTTTCACGTTAAACATTACGATTTCACGGCACGGATGTCGTCGGTAAGATTATCCGACCTGGCCGTCGTCGCCGAAATTGTCGATCGCGTCTAAGACGTAGAGCGACGTACCCTTCCACGTTAGACATCCTTAATCGTCGTTTCCGGATATTCCCGAAAATTCTCGGTATTTCGAGATTTTGATCGATCAACGAAGCATTGAATTGTTCTCAAGTCACGTTTGTTCCTATCTCATTACTTTTACCAGATGCATTGACGAACATACATTCACATCATTCTGACCTAATTCTCTCTCTCTGTCTTCGAAAATCTCATCCGGGCCGATTTCGCTTAATTTCGTGGACCGATGGAGTCGCATTCGTTGAAGCTGTTGCCTTCGAGCGAGATAAAACGATCGCGGATGTCAGATGCGGACATTCGACAGTCGGGTTGTGCATAATATCCGCGATATGAACGACCATAACTCTTCGAGCGACTCGGGATACGTGGGATATTCGACGTAGAGGAGAAATCAAGTAGAGGGGAAAATAGAGAACGAAATAACAATATCGGAGAAAAGAGAGGAAGAAGAAGAGAAGAAAGATAGATGGAAGGAGAAGTGAGAGAGAATCGATATATCCGCAGTTTCGGTCCTCTGGAAGATGGATGTCGAGCAGACTGCTGGGACCTCGCGATCTATCTTACCTAGGGGAAAATCCTTCGAGTATTTATTCAGGCTAATATAGTAATGGATTTCCGGGCCCACGCGCGACTCCCTCGAGTCTCCTTTCTCTTTCGGCAAGTGTCTCTCCTATCTTCGTTCGAACACAAGTAAACGCATGTCGAGCGACATCGCTCGAAAATGTATTCGGCCTATTTTCACGACACGGCACGACGGTGATCCTTTTCGTGGCTCGTTTATGTCGCAGTCGCACGAAGGCTCTTTGCCTTTCATCTACCTGTCACTCATTTCTCGAGAAACAACGCCGTCGCTCTCCTAATCTCACTTCGCGCCGTTGCAAAGGTTTTTCCTCGCCTTCCCAAAGTGTTCCTAGAATAATCGCGTATCTGTATGATGATATTTCCGATTTTTCTACCGGTAAAAAAACCGTGTCGTCGTCTTCAACTTTTCATTCTCCGATCGAGAATTACTCGAAAAGAATCATTAGAAGATATAAGTATGTGATTCGTTTGTCTCTTCTTCGTCTCACGATCAGTCTAATTATTTATTCGCATCAAAAATCTTCGCAATTTTTTTGCTTAACGGAAAGGAGAAATCTTCGGCGGTTGGTTAATTTTCGAGAATATTTCTTACGATCTTCGTCGATCTTCTCTGAGAGAAACGACTCGTCGCGATCGTCGTGGAACAATGTCGGTTTCCTTAATACACATTATGATTGCTTCGTTATTGCTCTTGAGGTTAACGTTGAAATCACAGAGAATCACCAATGTTTGTGCAGTGTAGCGCACAGAGATTCGCGCGCCATAAATCGGAACCTTGATTCCTCTTGAACGTCGTCAAAGCCTTTGACGAAACACTTTGACATGATCACGCGGTGTTAACAATGTTTCATGTCTCAACGGGCAACTTCTTCTAAGCTTCTCTAGCATAAGAGCGAATTATAGCGAAAGACGATGACTAGATTGCCGGGAGATCTCCAACAACTTCAGTGCAAACTTCTCTCGGCATGTCGCGTGACGCTAGATTGTCGCGCGAACACGTTCTGCACACGTGTGCACCCTCGATTATAAAGTTTCGGACGCGACAATGAACCTGCCGAACCGTAGGTCGAAACGCAATTATTCGTCGGGCGACAGGAAAGTTGGAGAGCGCCTTCTGATCTTTCGCTATGTCGTTTCGCAACGAGACGAGGATTAATCGCTCGTTCAACTTTCAGTTTTTTTTTCGCTTCTCGCTCTCCTTCTTCCTCTCTCTCTTTCTCCAGGATCTGTGCTAAATTGATCAACTTAATACGCGCGCGTTTGTATTAATAATGAGATTATTTCTCCCGCGTCGAAAACTGTCGTTTTTTTTTCTTTACCTTGTATTGCGCTACGTTAAAGAGCGATTAACTCCGGAATGACTTATTTCTATGCGCTCAACGAAATTATCCAGAAACTGTCACACACTACTGAACTTGCTGACGAGCTAAAAAAAGGCAATTTCGTTCTTTCGCAATTTCAAAGGGACCGCTCCGCTTGCGGAGCGATTCTTTTTTCCTCGTTCCTCGTTCGCGATATAGTGACCCCTTTGACCTCGCTTATCCTACACCATGACTAAAGCGCCACCATTTCGGATTTGAATAAATTTCTCTCGGTATCAGTTTCATAAATCAGTTATTACTTAATATATCCAAGCCTTGCAAGTGATTTACCAGAACCTATATATATCGACCACCACCAGATATGAGGTCATTCGCGAAACGACCTTTCCTTCCTCGCGCTCCGAATTTCTCGCTGAGATAATGAATTATAAAACGTAATATTTAAACACAGTAGAGGCACAAAATCGCACGATTCAATTTACCGCACCCATCTGGAACAAGCAATTATCACGTAGCCGTAATTCGCGGCGTTCCTCCCACGATTCATTTCGCCGATATCGCCTAAGCGATTGTGCGAAAAAATGTTCCTTTCGTCGCGTTGCACACCGTTGGGAAGCTATTTAGAAACTGATTAAAGATCAGAACCGACGTGCTGACGGGCACAACATCAACGTCGCGCACCCTGTCATTGTTCCGCTGTCCGCGTGCTGACCTTGGCGAGAGCTGACTGATGGATTGCAACTCGATCGCAAACTCGGCCAGCACGATTCGTTTGCGATGCGATGGGAGAGATTTGTTCCTACGATCACGCGATCACGAGGTCGCGTGCCGTGAGAGACGCAGAAGCGCGCGCGTTGTTCTCAGGGCGACAGCCCGCAACCAACTGTGGCTCCTTGGTCACCACCTCGTAGTTCCGCCACCCACCGCAACCTCGAGCAGGGGTGGCCTGGCGCTTTTGCACGCGCTTAACGCGCACGGATTACGGGATTTCTCCTGAGAGATATTCCCTTCTCTCTTTCTCGCTCTCTTGTTTCCACGTGCCATCTCTCTTTATCTTTTTCTTTCTTCGGCAGGTGCTCGCATCTGCTCGCAGGACCGGGAGAAGAGAGAGATTAGGGAAGAGAGGTCACTTTCACCCCACTGTAATTTTTTCCCCTTTTTGCCCGTCGAAATAATCTCGCTGGAAGAAATTAATAATCCCTTCCACGAATGCGCTACAATGTCTGAGTAGAAAAAATAATTTCATAAGTTTATTTAAAATATAATCAAATCTGTGTTTGTTGGCATAAAGAATTGATTTTTTAAGTTTATTTTTTTTTTTTTAATCCTCTGCCTCTGAACCTATTTTTTATTATTACTGTTTACGTGCTATATGCATATTAGAGGAATGTAAGTAATGTAAAAAATCTTTTACATTTTATGTTGTGCAATATTATTTTATATTAAAAAGAAAAATTTTAAAGGGAAAGCACAAGAGAAAGAAAAAAATAGAATATATTACAATATGTAGAATATTACATTATATTATAAAATATTTTTTTTAAGTTTTTAAAAATAAAACAAATATTGCATAGAAAGACGTGTGTAAAAAAATTCTTTTTGTTTCCCCTTCTCATGTATAGATATATTACATATATTCGCTTATTATCATTACATTTCTCAGTAAATTGGAGTAGAAAAAAAGTACTAAAAAATTATGACATATCAGACTTCTAGCCTTTAAATAAAAAAAAGATTAAAATAATGATTTGTTATTTAAAATCATACAGATAATATTGTTTTCTGTTAAGTTATATCTCCGATTTGATAATATCGTTTGAAACTTTATTGTAATCAAATGAACGTACGAATTATAAGCTTCCAATAAGTAAATCAGCTTTTATTTTGACTTATCTTATATTGCTAATATACAATACAGTTCAATTACGTAATACAGTTACTGCTTTGCAGGAAAATTAAAAAATTCTTCTAAGAATAAATAATGAACAAATGGTAAGTTACGAGTACATTTAAACACTAACTCAAGTTCATGCTTAATTATTGAAGCGTCGCAACTTCATACGAAATTTAAAATTTCGATACGAACGACTCTTGATAGCTGTTTCCATTATTCGTGTTCGCACGCGGCGCATTTATTCGTTCTTATTTGAATTTCCAACCGCATCTGCGTTTACTCTCCCTCCTTCTTTCTTGCTTAACGTATTGCCGTAATCGTAAATGCACTGTTGAGCATAGAGAGAAATTGAATGACGCACGTTGGCACGTGAATAATTTTTGCACCGATTGATTTGAAATCTCGGATGGATTTTTTAAAAGAAAATATCTTATAAAACGAGAAACTTTAATCTCGGGCAATGGGGAAAAGCTAACAAGGAACTGGTTGAAGAATACGCGACAACTCTAGCAGTCATCTGAAACTGAACTGAAACGTTCCAAGTTTTCGTGCAAACTCTGAAAATGTTTTTCACATCTAAAACACAAATATCGATTGCAATGGTTATTCCCTCAAAGGAAATCTTTGTAGACGTAATAAGAAAGATGCCTAAACTTGAAATCAACTTTGAAGCTAATTCCAAAGGCAATCCGGATCCTCCTGTTATCGTGAATATAATTTAGTCTGTATACAACTATACGAACAACTCTTGATGAAGCTGTTTCCATTATTATACATATATTATACAGACTATATACAAACATTAAGATGATTATATTTAACTTATATTTAACTATTACGAAAAATTACGATTTGCCAAAATATTAATTTGATGGCGTTACTAATATATCATCTCGTTTAATCAAAAAATATTCTGACTCTTTTATCAATTTTTTTCAAATTATTTTAATATTTAAAATAGAAAATAGTTAAGTGTATCTATTTCTAAATTATATTCAATTAAATAATATATACAAAAATTGTGTTATGAAATAATTTAAAAGATAATTTAATTGTTCATATATCGATTTTAGTATTTCACCTATATTTGCATCTCAGCTTGTACCTATACAGAAAATATAAAATAATTTGATTTATATAAATAAATATATTTGTGTATTTTCTATAATTAAATTACACACAGTAATGTATAAAAATCTGAAAATAGTTTTCATGCTATAACAAATAGATTTGTTATAAATAATCTGTGTTATAATAAAAAGAGGATAAAGACCACACAAAAAAATATACTTATAATATTAAAGATATATATAGAATATATTACGTTTAAAATTTTATATATAATGAAGCATAGAAATCCCCCTTTACTTGGCTAAGAACGGATCCTTATGATTTGTGCATGATAAGGCTGTTTGCGGAATATAGCTCGTGAATGCACGCATATTGTCCGGACAATAATTCGCTTGTTCGATTGATTTCGACGTCCCACTTCGTCCGACGCATGACGTGTGTTGCTACTGTGTGTACCCACGTCGGACGCGGGATATGTTTGCGCACAAACTGCAGCGAACTGCACAAACATTTCAGCCGCGCGTCAGATCAACAATAACGACCTGTTAGTCACTTCTTTGTTATTAATATTCGATAAAAAAATTTGTCTACTTCTGAAGTTCTATATAGAATATATAAGAATATCAATTTCAAAGTTATATGATTTCTTGATATCTAGAGAAAGAAATGGTTTGTAAAGCTCCCCAGAGAAAAGAGATGCTTTCGCGAAAAAGAAATATATTAAATTTGTATAGAAAATATGTATTGTGAATTGCTCTGTGTAGACTTTCATAATGTTCATAATGAATTTTTCATGACATTTTGTCATGTTCTCAATTTCTTTATGCGATTAAATCCGTTCTGATTTGACATGTGATATGAAAATATCGTAAATAAATAAAAATTAATGAGACACAAAATGCTACTCTCAACAATAATTTCTTAAGAAACAATTTCTTACTATATAAATATGTTATTAAATTTTTTTATTACTTAAGATTTAATTTTTTATATTGCGTTCCAAGCTATTGTTTTTCTGTTTTCTGTTTTTATAAAAACTCCATGTTTCTCATATTTCTTGTTCCCTGGCTAAACTCCTATAAATATAATGTATATTGCAAAAAACACGAAGATATACATTTACTGAATGAAATTTATAATCATTTAAAGTAGCATAAAAAAGATCAAGTTGATTTAATTTTTTTATAATTTAATCAAATAACTTATTCGTTAGTAGCATATTAGCCATTAATAAAATTAAACAAATATCCACATTGTTTTTATTTAATTAATGTACTTAAGAAATTAAAAATTAAATTTTTCGAAATTATTTAGAGATCAGAACTGTTCATTAACTTTGTATTTCCGACGAACGACCCATAGCTAATAATTTAAAAAATAATCGGACTTTTACAGCTTCCAACACATATTCCTGCCAACTATGCCACTATACAACAGAGGTAGCTTCTCAAAGTAGATAAATTTTGTTGCTTTTGTTTGACTCGTGGAGAAATGAAAACTACATTCTATTAAATCCAACACGATGCATTACGTGACGTCGATACAGTGAATATAACAGAGTTGCGTATAAATAATGCATTTTGATGGCAAATACTTTCGTTGAGCAGCTCAGTACCTTCACGCGCAATTTATTCAAATACGTTTAAAATACATTGGTTGTAAAGCTTTGTGTTGGCTTTGAAGGAATGTGAGCTTTAAATTCGCCCCATCTATTCGAACAATTCATTCCGTATCGCGACTCGCTTCGTTGCGAGCGTTGTTTCCAGATTTTTCTAATATCGCTAACTTATGAACTCAAGAAGGGTAATGTTCATCCAATAAATGGCTCCTGATGAAAGGATTGTAGCAACCTTTTGGTAACCACGGCAACGAGCTGTATGCCAATCAATAGCAAAAGAGGATTACGCGCATCTTTCAACTCAAATAGTTTCTTGATGGGTATCGAGTTTCAAAAGATCTGGTAGACGCCAGTCAAAAGTAATTATCCATAGCTCGAGATTTTTCTTGTAAAATTTAGAATATACTAATATGAAATGTCAAGTGTAAATTATAAACGCAGCAATTGATAAAACACGATTAAACTAATGTCGTAAGTTTATAGACATGTTATGTTGTAGATGTAGTATGTTGCTAAAAGTTTATTATACGCCACTTACACAGTAAAGTGTACTGAAGTTACAGTGTACTGAAATTACAGTAAAATGTATGAAACTTTGATATACATATTTTCTTAAGTAGATCTTTGATCTTTTAAAATATTTAACTTAAATAACTTAAATAACATTAAATAATTCTTTGTAACATAAAAATTAAAAATTAAGTTGTTTAAAATGGTTGAATTCTACAAAATATAAAAGATCTATTTAAGAAAATGTATCATTTCATTACATTTTATTGTAACAAAGTATAATATTAACAATAAAATGTTATGTGTATATATATAATTTTATATTATATAAATATATAATTAAAATTTTGGATCATCCCAACGACAACGCACAATCAATGTTTATTATTTATATGAAATATGAGGTGGTTCCAGAGAAAGAGAGAGAGAGAAAGGATCCTTTAAAACCAATATCAATGAGGATATTCAAGTCACGATTGGTACGAGGGATACAAATATTGTATATACAGGTACACGGAAGATACAATATATACGCGTGAACGTGCCGGACGCAAGTGCTCAACTAGAGATTATATTGTATCAATGTACAGATGTAAAAAAATTCTATATTCTAGAAAAATACATCCAGATATTACATAACATAAACGTTCTTCGTTTTTAAAAAAAGTTTTACCTGCGTGCTTGCATGAAAATATAGATATATTATTTATTATATATTAATTTAATAATTCTTTATATATACTACATGCAATTTTAAATTCTTGAAAACAATATAAAAACTAAACAGGTATTTCAATTTTAAATACGTACATTAAGATTAAGTGTATCAGTAAAAAATTCAAACAGAATCCTAATATTTATTTTATTCATTTAATATCTTCTTTATATCTAATATATATCGTTTTTTGGGTTTACGCACATGC